CAAGTACGTCCCTCGCTACAGCCAGTGCGGCGGCGAAGGCTGGACGGGCCTCACCACGTGCACCGCCGGCAGCTACTGCCAGGCAAGCGACAAGCACTACTCGCAGTGCCGCCCGATCTCTGAAATGCCCTCTCGCCCCATCGACGGCTAGTAGAGCGACTTCACTCGGGCGTCTCTTACACCACCGTAAGCTCAATACAGTAGTGCCCTTAACCGCTTCTTGTCATACCACATGCTACGCGAGTCCTATGCACCATGCCAATACCGAACGACGCAGCCCATGCCCAAACAAGCGGTGCACTCGAGGGGACGATATCTACAGCTTGCGCCGATCCAGACAATCCTCCGATGCCAAGACGGTGTCCAGCAGGGTCGGTCGACAGAAAAAATACACAAGTTGGCGAGTTACACGCCATAAGCGGCCTTGAGCGCCGCCGCATCGCATCCCTCGACGGCGCTGGCTTGCGCGAGGACGGAAGCCACGTGTTGGCGCTCGTCACCGCTGAAGAAACGGACGACCATGTCGAAGCGCGGGACGCGCGCCAAGTGCATCAGCAGCGCCACAGCGTTGGCGTCCATCTCGACCGAGAGTGCGTCGAGGATCTCGAGCAGCAGATCCGGCTCGATCGCATCTTTAAAGAGCTTGGGCAGCAACGCGACCTGGAGCCGGCCAAGGTACGTTCGTCGCAGCTGCTGCATCTCGTCGGCGTGTTGGAACGACTTCCACACGCGTTGAAACTCGTACGAGGTCGTCGGTGCTTTCGTCGGTACAAGCACCTTGATCTTGGGCCGCGTGAGTTTTGTGGACGGCGGCGCAGCAACCGGCAATGGAAGTTTGTCAGTGGGAGCGGTCGGTGCCTCGTTGGTGGAGACGGCCGGTGGCTCGGCTACAGCGACGGTAGGAGCGACTGTAGGTGCCACTGTGACGGTGACCGGGATGCTTGTTGATGGTGTTCGCTTCACAGCGGTCTTGAGCGCCTCGCGTGTCGTCTTGAGCTGGAGCGCAATCGTCTTGTTGGTCGGCTCCAGTGCCAGCGCGGCTTCGGCATCACAGAGCGCGAGCCGGTGCTTTCCCAGCGCGTTGCGCGCTGTGGCCCGGCGAGAGAGCGACTTGACGTGGCGGCTATCGTACTGCAGAGCGAGCGTCGCGTCCTGCTCGGCCTTGATGTACTCTTTGAGCTTGAGGTGCGCCATGGCACGGTTCGAGAGCACAATGTGGTTGCGTGGGTTGAAGCCCAGCGACCGCGTGTAGCAAGCGACCGCCGCAACGTACTCGCCGGCTTTAAAGTGCATGTTGCCATCGCTTTTTCGAGCTCTTCCCGCGAGATTGTCGGCGTCGGCGGCGCAGCCTTGGTCACGACCACCTTCTTGCGCGCCTGTAGACGGACCATGAGGCCTCTCGGACGATCCTGCGTCGATACGACGAGGTGCTATACCTGAGGAGTCTCAAGCTCGCTATGCGCGGGTGGCTTGGGCGTTGGCGCGTCGACTTCTTTGAGAGCAGCCTCCTACGGCAGTAACGAGGCGCCATGAGGCCAGCACTGACTGCTACAGCGACGTACCACGTCGAAGGCGTCCCACTTCTTGTAGCCCGTGTCGTAGACGTGGCTCGCCGGCGCGGCTTTGGCCACAGGCTCGTGTGCAGGCGTGTGCACGTCGTTGATCGGGTGCTGGATCGAGACGGAGCCGGCCGAGCCACGGACAGGGACCGCGACCGCATTGCGCACGCGTGGCGGCTTCTTGGTCGAGGTCGAGCGCGCCTGCTCCTTCTTGGCGATCGTCGCCTCCCAGTCCTTGAGGTCGCTGTAGTAGTTTTGCAGCGTCGACGCGTTCTCGCGGATCTGGCGCTGGACAGCGATCGCGTCCATGGCAGCGTCGCTTCGAGTTTGCCTTTTTCTTATTCTTGTTTGTGGGAAATCGCGCTGATTGGCTGAAATCTAGAAAAGGCTAATTCCACGCAACCGAATCAAACAGTCGAGAGTCCAGTGACGCAACAGTGGATGTGTGTATTGCTATGGCAAGGGACCTTGGCTGTGGCAATGGATGCGAACTGGGTCCAGTTATTGGCTCTAGATAACTTGGAAACATATGTCTCCTCGGAAGGGTCCCGGTGAAAATGTGCAAAATAGTCGTACTTTAGCAGGTACCGCACTCATTGTGCGCACTGGAACGACAAGCTCCTCGTCTCAACTGCACGTAACGAGTCGTGGCTATGTAGAACGGTCCGCGGATTATAAACACAATGTCATTTTGTACTAGGCACGCAAACGTGTTTCTATTACGAAAGGGTGTCCGAAATCACGGCAATCGGAGACGACGCATTGGGACGGTGCAGGTCGGGAGGCACTGCCAGTAGTAGTCGTTGTTTTCAGGCACTTGCTGCCTTCGGTGCAGACGGTGAGGCCCGTCCAGCCGATGCCGCCGCACTGGTCGTAGCGGGGGACCGTGGCCGCTTGCGTTAGCTTGGGCTGGCACTGCAAGTAGTAGATGTTGACGAGATGCACTCGAAGCCCGCCGTGCAGCTCGTCGCGCCGGTGTAGCCGATGCCACCGCACTGGAGCCACTCGCCGATCGGCGCAGGGTCCGCGGCGGCCGCCTGCAGCGAGAAGGCGGCAAGAAGCGTCGAGAGGAAGAGGAGCTGCATACTTGAGTGCGCAGTCGGGGGCGAAAAGCAAAGTCCCGATGCGACGGAAGAAAACGATTCTACGAAAACTACTCGCCGGCCAAGGGCACGCTAACCTGGAACCTCATTCTTGCTTATCCATCACGTCGCGGCGCTGACCATGTACCCGATTTCGATGGAGGGGCGAATGGCTGTGCGAGGAGAAGAAACAAGATCGCGTCTGGTATTCAATTCTTCAATTGAGTGTTTTCGGTTGGAATCCCGGCCTCGCCTGGATAGTGTGCAACGATCGTATTATCGTTGCACCCTGAATAATCCAGTGTTTACTCAATGCAATTTGCTACCGGTGCACAGATTGCACGGGATTTTACAACATTTTATTCCGTGCAATCTCAGACACGGATTTATGGATTGGCTGGTGCAGCCACACTCAAAGCTGGACTCGCCGCAGAGAAGACATGGCATCGAGAAGCTTCCTAGATTCTGCTCCGCCTGCCACTAATGTAGTACGCGAGGAGCACTGCCTATCGATCACTGCTGCGCCACGAAAATTGAACGACCATTGCTGCTTCTGTTGCTAGTTCAAGAGATATGACGTTTTCACTTGCTTGAATACACCGCCACCCTTAAAGGACGTCGCCCAGCCGTCAGTGTGCACGAGTCGAGCGTCCTCTAGAGAACGTGGAGTCGTCGATGTTCAATGACTGGCGTTGGCCAGCGGCGCGGCCAGCGGCGCTGGAGGGCGTGCCGACGCAATGCGGTCTTCGAGCATAGAAATATCGGGACATGTCATCATGGTCGAAGCCGGCGCGCACACGCCTTGACGCTGCAGGATGCCGGTGGGCTGCGGTGCCACGGCCTGCGACTGTCGGCGAGAGTCAAGTACCGGTAGGAACCAGCGTGGCCACGCAAAACGGAGCATAGAAATATCGGTACCGTGCTCTGCGAAGCAATTAGCGTTGCTCGAGGGTGTCGTCGTCGTTTGGCAGCTTCACGAGTTGTTGAAGTCATCGAGACGAGGGAGACAGGGCGATTCCTCGACCGATAAAAACTCCGGTGGGGCAAGAACCGGACTGGAGCAGTCTGCGTTTTCCAGATTTCTCGCGGGTGCGATGCTCACTGGTGACAACTTGTCGCCAGATTTTGCCAGGGTCTATGAGATGACCGTTCGATCTAAAAAGAGTACTAGTGCGTACAACAGTGGGAAGATGGAGCTTGAGCTCGTTGCGTTCAAAATCCTACGATGTCGGCGACCGCAAACAAGATCTCACGGTACAAAGCCCGATAACGTTTTGGGGAAATCCTTTTGAACCTGATCGGAGCCACATCATCGAATGGGTATCATTGTTGTCGACCACTCGACTACTCGTTTGCAATGATGCAGTATTGTACATGTCATTCACGCTGACGCATCGCTCACCGTCGGTATCAAATTAGTGGGAGAGTGGTCTGGTTTTGGCGCCAAAAATGATTGCGTTGGATTGGCCCATTAATGGTGCATTTCAACAAATGAAACCGCCTACTCGTTTACTGCCACGTTGGGATTGGTCGAAATGATTCTTGAAGCGACTTTGGGATTCCGCTCGTTGGATTGGTCACGCGCATGAAAAGACTTGGATTTCAACCAATGGCATCGACGCGTCTCGCCAGCAGGTATCCATCCCGCTGCTTGACGTGCGACGATGGACGCGAAGGCCAAGTACCGCGAGCGCTACACGACGCTTCATGCGACGTACGAGGCGCGGCTCATGAGCCTCGGCGCCAAGTTCGAGGCTGCGCTCCACGAGCTCTGCGCCGACGAGTCGCTCGCGCTCCTGCAGCAGAACCCGACATCCCGGGACTTTGTCGGTGACCGCCTCCACGAGCTCGTCGCGCATGCGCTGGCCGACGAGAAGGAGGGCTTTATCAAGGGCCTCGCCGAGAAGCTCGCCAAGAAGGATGCGGCGCTCAAGGAAAGCGTAAGCGCCAGAGCCGTTGCCGAGAGCCAAAAGAAGGCGCTGCTGGACGAACTCCACAAGGTCGTCGACCAGGTCGAGGGCCTCCAAACCAGGTACACGACCACGCTGCGCGACAAAGACGACCTCGAAGGCGAGGTTCGACATCTCCGCGACGAGAACAACGCGCTCATCGAGCAGGTCGAGCGCCTCACGTCGGCGTCGACCGAGTGGGCCCGCGAGAAGCACACGTTCCTCGCCATGCAGCAAGACTACGTGCGCATGCAAGCGCTATACGCCAAGGACCAGTCGTTCTACGGCCAGACCGAGTCCAAGCTAACCGAGACGATCCAGGATCTGCAGGCCAAGCTCAGTGTAAAGCTCCTTCGGTCTTTCATTGTGCTTCACCACACTGTCTCTATAGATGCTCGAGGCCGACAAGACAAACGAGCGCCGCGAGTGCTCTGCATTGGCTTTGCAGCTACAAGAACAAACCCTCGCGGTCGCGCAAGCCAAGGAGGCCAGCGCATCGTTGGCACCACGGCTACAAGCCGCGTCCGACGAGGTCCAGCACCTCCAGAAAGCGCTCGCAACAGCGACCGCCGAGACTGCGACGTGGCGCCGCAAGTACGAGTCGGTCGGCGACCAAATCGAGCTTCTTCTTCAAGAACAAGTGCACGAGAAGGAGCTCCTCGTGCTCTCGCACGAGAAGGAAGTCGGTCGCGTCGTCGCCGAGCTGCACCAAGCTAGGACCAACGCCGAGGCCGACGCCAATCGGTGGCGCAAGGACTTTGACTCGCTCGAAGGACGCCTCACCGAACGAGAAGCGGCGTTGCGCGCGGCCATGCACGAGATACAGACGCTCGAAGCTCAAATCGCCGATCTGGACGTGGGCCGCACCGAGACCAAGGTGACGCTCACGAAGCGGATTGCGCAGCTCGAACAAGAGGTCGCGGCCGTCGCCAGGGAAGGCCAAGGCGCGTTGGCCGCCGAGCGAAAAGCGCGCGAGTCGATCCAAGAACAGTTTGCTTCGTACAAGCGCATGGCCGACGTCAAGCTGGCGTCGCTGCAGACGTCGCTCTCGCACACGCAGGAGTCGGCCAAGCGCGACGCGGCCGCGGAGAAGCGCCTCAAATGGCAGGAAGACGCGATGAAGAAGCACGAGCAAATGCTCGATGGACTCAAGTCCAAGTACGAAGCGTCCATGGCGTCCCTGCATAGCGAGCTCACGTCGGCACGCACGCGCGCGATGGAAGAGACACAGCGACTGCACTCCAAGCACGAAGAGGCGTCGCAACTCCAGCGCATGCGGCAAGACGTCGCGCGGCTCGCAGCCACGTCGGCCCACACCACGTACGTCCTTTCCGACCGTAAACATGCATTAAAGTCCACTAGCTCCAAGGTCGCCGAAGCCGCCAAGACGCTACCGGGTAGCTACGTGCCATTGGCCGAGCACAAGGCCGAGATCGACAAGATCACGGCGCAGCTCACGCTCAAGTTCGAGTCGGCGCAGGCCAAAGTCAAAGAAGAGTGGCATCGACAGCAGCAGCAAGCCATCGAGGCCGCGATCGCCGACCTCCGGCACGAGTTGGCGGCCGCGCACGACGAGCTCCGCACGGCGCAGCTGGAAAAGACCGAAGCGACCAATGCCCTCGTACTGGAGCGAAAGCACAACGTGCAGTGGGCCGGTTCCCTCGAAGACGAGCGGCAAGCCAAGACATTGCTGCTCCAGCGGTGCGTCTGCATCTGCGGTACATGCCATTCGTATCCCATGCGGTAGGCTGGACGAAGCCGCGGTGCACCTCGGACGGCTCAAGCAGCTCGTGCACGAGTACCAAGACCGAGAGCGCGACCTCAAGACGCAGCTAGAGGCATCGCACCAATCGATGGCTGTCGCCGATGCGTCGGGCCACGAGCAAGTGGCTGCGCTCACGGCCGAGCTCGCGGCGCTCCAGGTACGCTTTGGAGCTCGCGTCGGGTGTAACGATGATATAGGACAAGTACACGCGCGTCAAGGAGGTCGTCCAAGGCGCCACGCACACGATCCAGACGCTCGAGCGCGCCAACGCATCGCTGCAAGCCGCGGCCGCCGAGCGCGACGCGAACGCTGCGTCGATGCTGCAAGAGAAGGCAGCGACCATCGAGCTGCTTCAAGTCAACTTGGCGCGCCTCGAAGCGCGTGAACAGAGTACGCTGAGCGTGCTGCAGCAAGAGCAACGCGCGCAGATGGACCGCCTGCAATCACAGCTCGCGGCCGAGGCGGCGGCGCAGAGCTCACTTCGGGACGAGCTCCAGTCGGCTCAAGTCGCAGCGCGGGCGTCCGCGGACGCAGCCACATCGCTTAGCGCGCAGCTCAGCGCGGCAAAGAGTGACCTCGGCGACGCGCAGGCCAAGATCGCCAAACTCAAAACCAAATACGACGACGCCCGCGCGACCATCCAGACGCTGGAAGACGCGCAAGCCCGCTGGCAGTCGGTGCAACACGAGGTACGGAGCCAGCGTCAATGCAATACATAGGCTTCACGAAGGATGTAGATGGCGCTGTCGCAGTCGGACAAGCAGCAGCAGCGCCAGCGGCTCCTCGAGAAGGCCAAGCTCCACGTGCATACGATGCGCATGGACTACTTGGCCACGAAGCGGGCGCTGGAGCACGAGCTAGACGAAGAGCGGCGGTACTTGACCGACTCGATGACGCTCTTGCGCAAGACGCTGGGTGACGCCCAAGCACAGTGGCGTCGGCACACCGCCCTCGATGTCGACCGGCGCGTGGCGGCACTTCATGCAGACCACGCCGCAGCGCTGCGTGCGCTGGACGTAACGCACCAAGCAACGATCGCGGGCCAGCTCGAGGCGCAGCGAGCAGCACTGGACGCGTCCTGGTCGGCGAAATGCGATGCGCTCGCCGTCACGACGCAAGAGGTACAGGACCTCACCTTGTAACAATGATGGGCTTACAAGAGCCTGGAGGTGCGTGGCGCGCTGGCCGAGAAGGAGACGCAGCTAGCGACACTGCACGCGCAGCTCCGGGATGCCACCCGCGAAAATGACGCGCTGCAAAAGCAGCTCGCGCACGAGCAACAGGAACGCGCCAACGATCGCGACGCGGCGGCCGCCGCTGCCACCACCAAAGACGCGGCGATCGAGGCGCTGGACGCCAAGCTCGAGACCGCGACGCGGGCGATGGCGGCGGTTCAAACCCAGCTACAGACGTCGGAGTCGAAGCTGGAGCACGCATGCGACGCGCTCGCCCTTCTAAGCACACGCGTCGCGCCATCGATATCATCGTCGCTTCCGCCCGATATGTGTCATATGGAGACACTTGTCTTCAAGCACACACTGCTCGCGTTCGGAGATCGCCTTGAGCGCGCGATCCAGGAGCGCCAATCGGCGGCCGTCGAGGCAGCCATCAAACCATTCAAGGACGAGCGAGAGAAGGCGCCGCTGGTGCTTCGCCGCACGACGTCGTCGACCGGTATCTTCTTCGTATCGAGTCGTCGGTGAATCCAAGGCGGTGGACGTAGAGTATGGCAGCGACTCTGTGCTCGGGATGGCAGCGCCACTGGCGACCGAGCTTGCAAGCGCCAAAGAAAGAATCCAAGCGCTCACACAGGAAATGGCCCATCTGCGTGAAAAGTACGACGCCGCCAAGGCCAAGTATGCGAGCGCGCGCACGCTCATCGAGCGCCTTGCGCAGGAGCGGGACGACGCCAAAGGGTACGCGGAGCGCCTCGCGCGCGACCGGCAAACGCTCGAACACTCGCTCACGACGCAGCTCGACGAAGCGTTTCAGCAGCACTCCATCGACCTCGATCGGCTCAAAGTACGGCATGCGTCGACATACGCATTGGCCGACGTCAAAGTAGGTGGGCCACAGCCGAGAGCTCGACTCGGTCCGGCACAACCACGACGTAGCGCTACCAAGTGGCATCGGAGCATCTCATGCGTGGCGCGTAGGCGCGGCTGCAAGAGCTCGAGAAGGAAGTCGACGCGCAAGAGCGCAAGCACCAGCGGCTGCGCAGTGTCCTCGGCCAACAAGTACCCGCTTGCATCACGAAGGCGACGCTGACGTGCAAGTAGGAATCGGACTTTAAAACCGAGTTGGAGGCCATGGCCAAGCGGTACCACGGTGCGAAGCAAAAGCTCCAGCGCGTCATGGAAGAGGTGTGTCGAGCTAGTATCAAATGACAGCGATGTGACGTCCGTGTAGATGGTATCGCTCAAGCTAAAGTCGTCGTCGTCCACTGGTGTCGAGAGCGGCGAGAGGTTACGGCAGTCGACGCACCAGCGGTCGTCGTACGAAGGGCTCGGTGCGAGTCGGAGCACCCGCCGGGAGGCTACGAGCACCATGCACGACCTCTCGTTGCTCATGGAGCAGTCGCTCAAGGCCTCCCAGAGCCAGTTTTACGCCCGTAGCGCCTCGCGCCCCGATGCATAGACAACGGTGTACACTAGAAATATTTCAAGCAATCAGCAAAATGGTCCTCGTCAATTCTGCTTCGAGTACGAAACGATGGGTCCACAGGCCGTTTCTTGAAGAACTGCAAGCATCAACGTCTTCAACGTGTGCGTGGCAGACGCTTCTTTGGCCTCGTGTCCACTCAGCGACTAGATTCGCGCCAGATTCGAGCGACGTATAAGTACTGCTCTCTGGACGACGTTCGATCCTCCTGCTCCTTGAGAAGATGTGGGGTCTTGATTCATCGATTTCTTGAAGTCTTTGAATGAAGAACTGACGCTTCTTGAAGTACGTGGCTGAAGATTCGATGGGCGCGCCAATGCTTTTGTGAAGGCTACTCGGAGAGCGTTCTTGCCAAGCAGTGGCGTTATCAAGGTACGCTTGACGGTACAGTGTACATCTTGCAAAGACCAGCGCCCGTGGTCTGCGCAATGATGTCATATTCAACGTCAATGGATTCAAACCTGCGTCGGTATCCACTTCCCAGCCAGATCTTCGTCCAAACTTCAACTTGATGACGTGGCACGCTGTTGAAACGGCAAAGTCTACACAAACGGTTACAGGACGCCTAACGAAGTCGGAAATGCCAATGGCAAGAGTATTGGTGTGCGTCATGATATAACCAACACTGCGTCGTCGTGGCCAGTTTGCGTGGTGAATACATCGGTGGTATCGAGGACGCCGCCGGATGTGGATGGGAGCCAATACAACGCAACGACGGCGTCATACCCTTGGCAGGCGTGAGAGGAAAACATGTCGCGTCGCACCCGATCCCCCTTTCCTACTGCATGGTATAATGTACTAGTAGCAGGCGCCGAGACGCCGAGCGCCCATCTATAGAAGAAGCACGGAACGGCGTCCATAGCTTCCCACCCACGCGGGTGCAAAGACCCGCTGCGAGCGTGGACGCAACGATGACGAAGCCGTCGCTCTGCGTCATGCACCCATCGTGTTGACGGCAACCATGCGCGTTGCGTGGCTAGCATAATCCGTCGTCTTGTCAGCGCAAAACAGAATAGGTAACCCAGGTGGCGGAGCTTGGACCTGCGACAGACGTGTGCAATGATGGTCGGAGCTTCTTCGCGCTCCTCGGCCGGTATAAACGTTCTTCTTGCAGCAGTCGCTCTCGCTTGGCGACACTGGATGCAGCATCTCTTCATCGCTACGAGCGGCGTCGTCTCGGCGGCGACGTTATGGGAGAAATACCGTCAAATCGGCGACTTCTTACGGTATGTGTACGGGATGATACACACGCGTGTACTCACGCGCGTGTCCTAGATTGGAAATGTTTTATGTTATCTTGCGATTTGTATCGAATGACGTGATGTTTTTAGAATCTCGAGATCCGTTCGCCGAAATCCGGTTCAATTTCGGTGGTTTGGAATAAAAATACCCTATGTTTTGTATACCGATTACCATCTTCGCAAAAAAACCGTCGCGGTAAAATGAGCCGGAAATCTCGGTAGATTCGGAGCCATTTCGTTGAGTTGCGCCGCTGTCGCACGGCCCGTCCTCGTCACTTCGCCACGCGCCAAGCCCCGACGACGACCACGCTGCCTTCCAGTGTCTCCTGGAAGAGCCCATTGAGAGCACGGTGCCATACGCCTTTGAGTTTCAGGGCGAGGTGCCATTCATCGAGGGCTATCCCTCCTACGCCTGCCAGCCAGCCACGTACAGAAGCATGCAAAGCTGCGACCAAGACGACGCGTACCATGGCAGCGTCGTCTCGAGCGCCACCATCATGGCCCTCTGCGGCGACGATGACCCGCCGGTCGAGGTGTGCAATTTATTTATATTTGTCACCAGCTGCCAACGGACAGCCCTGCCATGTGGTATAGGCGGCCCCCAACGGCGTCCGTGGCATCAAGCCATTGTCCGGATTGACAAAGATGTGGAGCTGCGCCAACGCCGAGATCGGCGTCGTCGGCGCCCAGATCGCGCAGGTCCGCGGCGGCTTCAAGGTCTACTACGAGGTCCACCTCTCGTTCCCGGACGCGCACAAGCAGTGGACCGTCCGCCGCAGCTACCGCGAGTTCAGCGACCTCCACGCGACGCTGCACAAGACGTACATGACGACGCGTAGGCGACTGACCGCTCATGACGACGACCTCTAGGTTTGGCCGCAAGCTGGACCGACAAAGCGCCGTCTTCCCCAAGCAGGCGCGGGTCGAGTGGGCGTGGAGCCAGGAAACGCGCTGCGTCCAAGCCGCGCGGCGCCTCAAGCTCAAACTCAACGCGTACTTGCACCGGCTCCTCGAGCTCCACGACGTGCACACGAGGTGATCCATCCCGCGCTCGTGAGCCAATCTCAATCTCAACACACGCTACGTAGCCCCATCTTTCGGGCCTTCTTTGACTTTCGAGACCAAGACGTGATGCCCACGTCGTCGCTCACGCAGCTCGACCTCGACGCGGTCTCGCCCCTCTCGTCGACCGACTCGACGTCGTCGTCCGTCAACGACGTTGGCAGCGCATCGTCGGCGACGATCAGCCTCTCGTCGCTGCCGTCGACCGCCTCGACATCGTCGTCGTCGGCGTCTCTAACGTCGCAGCCGACCTCGCTGCCCCGGCGTGCAAGCGACACGACGGCCTTTCGGAAGCGTGGCAACGACAAGCAGCTCGCGTCAACGTTTAGCCTCGGGACACAGACAAGCGCCAACCTCTCGGCGTTGGATCCCATCGCGCTCAAAGCCCTGCACGACCGGTCCCTGCACACGCTGCCGCCGCCGTCCCGCGTCGTCAAGACCACCTCCGACTGTCCGTCGGTCGTCCTCTACGGCCAGTCGATCTCGCTCCGGGCGCACGCCGGCCTCGTCATCGGGCTCCATAAACGCAGTGCGTGGTCCGGCTCGCAGCGCGTCGGCGCTGTGGCCGCCGTGGCTGCCGGCATCACCTTTCTCTCGGGCCCGATTGGGATTACCATCGGAGCGCTCGGCTCCCTCGGCAAGCACCATCTGAGTAAAACGTACTCGCTTGGCACATCCCGCAAGGAGGCGGCGAAGTACGATGAATTCCGCATCCAGATTGCCGAGGCGTTTTCGAGCCCGTCGCGGCCCGTGCAGTATGGCGACTGCGTCCGCTTGCTCAACGTGCACAAGCACCAGTACGTGCGCATCACGGTGCCGTCCGACTCGAAGCGGGGGTACCTCACGGCCGACAGTAGCGGCAAAGGCACGGTCTTCAAGTGCGTCTCGCCGCTGGGCTACCGCGGCCCGGTCGTGTGCGGCAGTCCTCTGTGCCTCCAAGTGGCCGACGCGGCGAGTCCATGGTACCACGATCTCATTGCAATCCACAAGGACTACGTGACGACCGATGGCAGTCCGGCCATCTTCAAGCTCGGCATCTACAACCACCCGTGCATGGCCAACGACGACATTGCCATGACGGTCGCGCGTCCGATGCCGCGCTCCGTGACGGTCCGCGTCGCCGTCTACAACGTCTGGCTCATGCCGCCGATCGTCACGACGTTCGTCAACGTGTCTGCCTACAAGACGCAGCGCGCGCTCGCAATTCCAAAAGCACTCGCCGCGTCGACGACCAACCTCCCGGACGTCATCGTGTTTTGCGAAGCCTTTGACGTCGAGGCGAAAGCGTTGCTCGCGTCCGGCATGAAGCAACTCGGGTATCTCTACGAGACGCGCGTGGCCGGCGAGCGCAGCAACATGAAGGCGCTCATGAGCGGCGTCTTTGCCATGAGCCGATACCCGATCGCCGCGTACGACGAGCTGCTCTTTGGCGGCACGTCGCTCGGCGATGACAAGGCGGCCGACAAGGCGGCCATCTACTTTGAGCTCCACAAGGGCGGCGAAGTCATCCACATTGTCGGGACGCACCTCCAAGCGTGGGAGTCGCCTGGCGCCGTGGCCACGCGGAAGAAGCAGATGGCCATGATGATGACGTGGCTCGATGCCAAGATGCTTCCGAAGCGCGACGCACTCCTCTTTGCAGGCGACTTCAACATTGACAAGATGCTCGCTGAACCCAACGAGTTTGACGAGATGCTCGAGCGCCTCCACGCCCGCGACGCGGACCTCGCCGAGGGGAGCAGCCCGTTCAGCTTTGATCCGTTCACCAATGTGCTCGCGTCCAGCGGCATTAGCTCGGGCGGCAAGCAAGAACGACTCGACTACGTCATGTACAGCAGCGGCCATCGGGAGCCGCACGCTGCGACCGCGCGCGTTCTGCCGTTGAAAGCGCTCGACGGCTGGCCCGACGTGCGCAACAACGACCGCGAGACGCTCGTTATGGACCTCTCGGACCACTACCCGGTCCTCGGCGAGTTTACCTTTGGGTAGTAATCGCCTCTTATTTAAACATCTTGATTTAACGTTGTCTACCTTCCGTCGCACCCGTGCATCATCATACCCTACCCCCATGTGTACCCGTGGCAGGTCCCATGAACCGATTCAAGCACCGCGTTCTTGGTCCTCTGTCTGTACTGTGCATCCTCATCCCATGTCCATGTCGGTACTACGAGTAGCAGGGCAAGCCGACGCCGCCGAGTGGATAGATAGGTATACATATCTCGTTTTAAAGAGTAGCGATACGTCTAAACCTTGGGGTCGGCCTTGGCGTCGTCGTCGATGGCGTCGCCCTTGGGCCCAAGCGTGCTCAAGTACTGCTCGAGCTCGGCAAACTCGTCGTCCTCGAAGTCAAAGTCGGTCGAGGTCGCGACCTTTGGCGGCGAGAGCGCGAGATCGCTAAAGTCGTCTTGGAGCAGCTCCTGCACGTCCAGCGCCGCCATCGCGCTGCTGGTCGCCGACGGCGGCTCGACAGTCGTTGACTTGAGCGACGACGTGGGCGACGGCAAGAACGGGGCGAGACCCAGTTCCTTCTCGAGCTGCTTCATGTCGTCGAGGTTGTCGTCCAGGTGCGCATGCGATCGCATCGGCGCCACGAGCGTCGACTGCAGTTCGGCGAGGAGATCCATGTCCTTCGCGTCGTCCCAGCTGCTCTTGCGGTACAAGGTTTCCTTCTCAATGTGAATGTCGTCTTCCGAGCTCACAATGCTAAAGGTCGACGGCGGCTTCTTGCTGCTCGAGGCTTTGGCGTGCGCTCGCAGGCGCTCCTTGCGCGCAGCGATCTCGTCCCAAAACTTCTCATCCTTCGAGAGCATGACATCGTACGCCTCGCGATCTTCCTGCGAAATGGTCACGCCTTCGCTCTTCGGTGACCCGACGGCGGCGGGCGCGTCCTGCACGGGCGCAAAAATCAGGTCGACAAAGAAATCCTTGTCGAAACGCGGGTCTTGGCACGCGCCGTCGAGCACGCGCCGTCGAGCTGCGCCTTGGTGAGCCTACCACCACCATCAGCATCGGTCGATGCAAAACAAAAGCCATACCGGAGGATGCCCATGGGGATGTAGCCCGTGTGAAACGCAGCGCGAAACATCGAGACGCGCTGGCCGGCGTCCGTGAGGTGGCGGCAGCGTACGAGGACGTCGCCTTGCAGCATGCAGTCGACGTTGAACGAGACCGAGCCGTCCGACGTGCTCGCCCAGCGGACGCCCGTGCCTTCCTGTGCATCGCGCCACGTGGTCGTAAAGACGAGCTTGCCGCCCTTGAAGATCTGCACGTACGGGCAGCAGCCCTCTTCCGTCACCTCGGTCCCGTCGTCGTCGACCGTGGTTCGGGCGCCAAAGACGGGAATCGAGTTGATAATGACGCGGCGCAAGAGGAGTGGCATCGAGCGCGGCTTGACGCCGTCCAGGACGTTGGTAAAGTACTGGATGTACCGACGCTGCGACGGAATCGTGAGCTTCTCAACCGGCGTCCGCCGGGCGTCGCCGACAAACTCGAGGGCCTCCATGGGCGACGCAAAGCGCCCAATCCACGCCAGGTAGCACGCCAGCACGGTACCCGTCCGGCCCTTGCCCGTGAGGCAGTGCACGACAGCCAGGTTCTTGTCGTCTGCGTTGCTCCAGCTCTCGATCGAGGCGCAAATCTTGAAGAGGAGCCCGAGTGGCGGCGCGGGGTGGCCCGGAAAGTAAAATTCGAGCACTTGGTTGTCAAAGTAGTTGTAGTCGTAGCCTTCCTCTACGCGACAAGTGTATAAGTTGTACACTATGATCCATCAATCGTAGACGCACCGGAGAGGTTCCAGATCATGTAGTGGCCCTTGTGCTTGCTGTTGAGGACGCTGGCGACCGCGTCGATCGGGTTGTCCCGGATCGGACCTCGGTTGCATTGGCCTTTGGTCGGAAAGCCCATCGCGACGAGGTTCTCTGTGACATATGTAAAGTTGAGCGCGTTGACGTCAATGGGCGCGTGCGGGTCGAGCGCCAGGTTGAGGCGGCGCTGCAGCGCGTCCATGTCGGCCGCGTCCATGGCCTTGTTCTTCCAGACAACCGCTTTCGCCGAGCCTTCCTTGGCCGCGTACGTTGCTGCGCTCTGCGCCTTCTTCATCAAGCCAAACATGCCCGAGGCCGCGGCCGCGGCGGCCGCCGAGGCGGCGGCGACGGTCTCGGCCGAGACCACGCTGCTGCCGCTGCCCGTGCGCGCTGTGGTCGAGGCCTCGCCAAAGAGGCTGATGTCATCGGCGTCGC